GAAATGAACCTGGGCTGTGGGCGCTGAATCTTAACCACTAGACCACCATGCGTCTGACCTACTGGCTATAAATCAGAGGTTCCCACGACCCCCTCCTTGGGTTCCATTAATTTACTGGAGCATCTCACAGAACTCAGGAAACCAGTTTACTCACTAGATTACCAGTTTATTATAAAAGGATATAACTCAGGAACAGCCAGATGAAGAGATGCATAGGGCAAGGTATGGGGAAAGGGCGCAGAGCCTCCATGCTCTCTCCGAGCGTGCCATGCTCCCAAATCTCTGCGTCTTCACCAACCTGGAAGCTCTTCGAACCCTGTCCTTTTGGGTTTTTGTGGAGGCTCCATTACATGGGCATGATTGATTAAATCATTGGCCATTGATTGATTCGACTTCCGGCCCCTCTCAGCTCCCCGGAGGTCAGGGGAGTGGGACTGAAAGTTCCAGCCCTTTAATCGAGTAGTTGGTTCTCTTGGCAAGCAGCCCTCATCTTTCTGTGCTTTCCAAAAGTCGTGTCATTAACATAACAAGACATCTTTATAGCTCTCATCACTTAGGAAATTCCAAGAGTTTTAGGAGCTCTGTGCCTGAAACAGAGTTGAAGACTAAATATGTATTTCTTATTATAAATCACAATGGCACATCAAGCAGTCTCACTCTTAAGGAAGCGAGAACACATGTTCACACAAAAGCTTGTACGTGAATGTTTATAGCTGCTCTATTTATAATTGTCAAAAGCTGGAAACAACCCACATGGGTTGTTTAAATGGATAAACTGATACATTCATATAATGGAATACTATACAGCAAGGAAGGAACTATTAATAACATGCAACAACTTGGATGAATCTCAAAAGCATTATACTGAGTGAAAGAAACCAGTCTTAGAAGGTTATATGCTGTATAATTCCATTTTATGACATTCTGGGAAAGATAAAACTAGTGACAAAGAACATATCAATGGTGCCAGGAGATGGGGTAGAGGTGGGGTATAACTACAAAGGATATCCCAAGGAAGTGTTTTGAGGTTTTGGAACTGTTCTGTATCCTGATTGTGGTGGTGATTATGTGACTCTATACATATGTTAAAATTCATAGAACTCTATACCAAAAAAATCAGTGTTACTGTAAGTTAACATTTATTTATTTTTAAAATTTTTTTAGTGAGGAGATTGGCCCTTAGCTAACATCTGTGCCAGTCTTCCTCTATTTTGTATGTGGTATGTTGCCACAGCATGGCTTATTGAGCGGTGTGTAAGTCCACACGTGGGATCCCAACCTATGAACCCCAGGCTGCCGAAGCGGAGCACGCAAACTTAACCACTATACCACTGGACAGGCCCCAAGTTAACTTTTTTAAAGAAGGCATTTGCCTCTTCAGAGTAACCCATTCAGGGGTTATGGACTTATTTCAGTAAAACTGTAATTTCTTAAACCTTTTTTGGATCTCCTGGAGAATTGACTTAGGCACATTGTTTCAAATATCTTCAATTTTCTATTAATGTGTTTTCATTCTTTGAGAATGATTTTTTTTCCAACAGTGAAAAGTTGTTGTGTGACAGGTCTGGTGAAGAAGGTTGGTGAAAGCTGGGTAACAACTTTATGGTAAAGAACAAAATGGGATTATAAAGTAATAAGCTGGTTTTGATTTCTAAGAGTCGTTTGCTAGGTATTTGATGTGAACTTCCCATTTGAATGCAACTAAAAACACTGGATGCAGCATAAAAACATTTTGAGTGTTTTTGATGCTATTATAGATTTTTTAAAAGACTCCTTAGGATTTTCTTTGTAAATGATCATGTTCCCTGCAAATAATGATGAATTTGCTTCTTCCCTGATCTGTATACATTTTATTTCTTTTTCTTACGCTGTTACTCTGTCTAGGACTTCAGTACATTGTTGATTATAAGTGGGGATAGTGGGCATCCTTGCTTTGTTTTCAGTCTTGAGAGTTAAAGCATTCAGTCTTTTACCATTAAGTGTGTGGTGGCTGTAGATTTCTTATAAATGCTCTTTATCAGATTGAGCAACTCCCCATGTTTCCCTAGTGTGCCAAGAGTTTTATCATGCATGGGTGTTGAATTTTGTCAAATGCTTTATTCTACTGAAATGAGTATATATATATATTTTTTTTTTCCTTTTTTCTGTTAATATTGTGAATTGTATTGATTTATTTTGAAATGTTTAAACCTGGTCATAATGTATACTGTCCTTTTTGTGTATTACTGAATGCAATTTGCTTATATTTTATTTAGGATCTTTGCATCTATGTTCATGAAGGATACTGGGTCTATAGTTTTCTTTACTTGTAATGTCTGTTGGTTTTTAGTATCGGGATAATGCTGCTTCCTAAAGGGAGCTGGGAAGCATTCCCTCTATTTTCTGAAGGAATTGGTATCATTTCTTCCTTAAGTATTTTGATACAGTTCACCAGTTAAGTTATAAGTTATGTGGGCCTGGAGTAGTTTTGGTATGTTTATTTAATGGGAATGTTTTTAATTATGAATTCAATTTCTTTAATAAAGTGCTACTTGTTTCTTTTTAAATTCATTTTGATAACTTGTGTCTTTAGAGGTATTTGTGCATTTCCTCTAGGTTGTTGAATTGGGACATAAAGATGTTCACAATATTCTCTTATTATGCTTTTAATGTTTGTAGAATCTTGTAGTGATGTCCCTCTTTTAAAATCTATTTGTCATTGACATCCTTTTTCTTATCAGTCTGACTAGAGGTTTATCGATTTTATTGATTTATTCTTTCCAAATAACCAGGTTTTGGTTTCAGTGATGTTCTGGGTTTAGTTTTCTTACTCTAGATTCTTAAGGTGAAAGCTTAGATCATTTGTTTTAAACTCTTCTTTTTTCCCATTGTAAACACTTAAAGCTAAAAATCGACTCTAAACACTGCTTAGGTGGCATCCTACACATTTTGATACATTACGTTTTCATTTTCATTCAATTCGAAGTATTTCCTAGTTTTTCTTTGTTTTCTTCTGTGGCCTGTGGGTTATTTAGAAATGTGTTGTTTGGTGTCCAAATATTTGAGAATTTTCCACATATCCTTTGGTTACTGATTTCTAATTTAATTCCATTCTGGTCGGAGAACATGCTCTGTATGAATTCAATCCATTTAAGTTTGTTGAGACTTATTTAATGGCCCAATATATCGTCTATTTTGATGAGTATTCCGTATGCACGTGAAAAGAATATTCTGTTCTCGTTGGGTAAAGTTTTATGAAAATGTCAATTGGATTGAGTTGGTGGATAGTGTTCTTTAAGTCTTCTCTGCCCCTTTCTGATTCCTATCCTTTTCTCTATCCAGTGTGGTTTTCTGTTTACTCGTTCTATCAGTTACTGAAAGAAATGTTGAAATATCCAACTATAATTGTGAATCTTTCTATTTATCTTTTCAGTTCCATCAGTTTTTGCTTCATGAATTTTCAAGTTCCTTTTGGGTGCATACACATTTAAGGTTGTTATGTCTGCTTGATGAATTGGCCTCTTTAATATTATGAAATGTCCCTCTTCATTTCTGGTAGGATTTCTTGTGCTGATGTCTACTTTATCTTATGTTAACATAGCCACTACATTCCTTATGCTTACTGTTTTTGCACAGCATACCTTTTTCTGTCCTTTTACTTTTAACCTATGTATGTTTTTATATTTAAAATGGTTTTCTTGTAGACAGCATATAGTTGTAGTTTTTTAAAATCCAATCTAACAATGTCTTTCATTGTTTTTTTTTTAAATATTTGCATTTAGCATAATTATCAATTTGGTTCAGTGTAAATATATCATCTTGTATGTTTTCCTTTCTCTTCTCTGTTCTTTGTTCATTTTTTTTCCTACTTTTCCTGAATTTTTAAAAAATTTTAATTGAGTATCTTTTAAGTATTTTATTGTATCTCTGCTATTGGCTTGTCACTTATACCTCTTTGCTTTATTTAGAAGTTGCTCTTAGGCTAACACTATACACTTTATCACTGTCTACCTGCAAATACTGTTATAGCATCTCTTACAGCAGTATACTTCCATTTCTCTACTATCACCAAGAAATTAATAAATGAGAAGAAGTCTGTTATGTTTACCCATGCATTTTTGGCACTCTTTATTCGTTTGTATTGACTCGGATTTCCATCTGGTATTATTTTCCTTTAGCCTGAAGAACTTCCTTTATCGTTTCTTGTAGTATAAGTCTGCTGGGAGTTTTCTTAGCTTTTGTTTCTCTGAAACAGTTTCTATTTCGCCCCCATTTTTGAAGAATGTTTTGCTGGTGTTTCCAGGTTTACAGTTTTTACTTTCAGCTCCTTAAAACTGTTGTGCTTTTGTCTTCTGGCTTGCGCTCACTGATGAGAAGTCTGAGTTCATTCTTATCTGTGTTGTTTTGAATAATGTTTCTTTTTCCTTATGCTGCTCTTAAGGTTATCCCTTTATCGTTGGTTTTTAGTGATTTGATTATGATATACCTTGGCGCAAGATTTTGAGGTTTATCCTGCTTGGGCTTGTTGAGCTTCTACGAGCTGTGGGCTTATAATTTTCACCAAATTTGGAAGATTTTTGGCTATTGTTTATTCAGATATTAAAAAAATATTTTCCCCTTCTGTCCTGGGACTCCAGTTATACACATTTAAGAACTTGATTCATTAGAGGGTATCCTCAGAGTGTGTCTGCCACAACCCCCCAAAGCAGAGGCCTGGTGACCTTCCTACTCTGTCAGTAGCCATCACCGTCCACCTACTACAAGTAACGAGGTCCATTGGTGCCTTTGCAGATGACCTTTGTTTTGTGACAAAATATGTCATTTAGAATTTTCTAGTATTAAGCATCTAATTCTAGTGAACAGAATTAAGATGAAAATCTTTCCTAGAATACACCTCAAAGACAAAAAAAAATTCTAATTAATAACATAGATATTGTTGATAGTAGCAAATGCTTTGTTATGTAATTGAGCGTGACGTTAATTCTCTTGCTATGCTTTCTCAAATTGCTCTTACTCTGCAGTGCAGGAATCACAGCCATGGCCCCCACCCGCCAGGATTTGGTCGACATGGAGTCTGTGCACATGGAAACAAAGAACTTGCCAAGGCGAGAGAAGCTCTGCCTCTTGTAGAGGACTCTAGTAACTGTGACATTGTCAAAGCTACTCAGTAAGTCTTCCCGTGCACTGTTTACATTGTCAAAGCTACTCAGTAAGTCTTCCCGTGCACTGCTTTCTCCTTGCGTTCTGCTGAATTGTAATCCTGCGTGTGCAGTTCATGGCCCTCCAGTGGATCCCGTCCTTACTTCCTGCTGCGGCACTAGGGTATTTGCCGTATGGGCGTCAGAGCACTTAGTGCAGTGCACCTCGGCTGTTTATCACCAGGCTCTCCCACTAGATTGTGAGAAGCTCCTTTGCAAAAGCATGACTTTTTCATCTTTGTATCCCCAGTTCTTTTGCACAGTTCCTGTCTTGAATTAGGTGCCCAATAAATGTCGAGTGAATGAATGATTTAAAATGACACTAAAACTAGACTTTGAAACACAAATCTGAGTCTTTTAAAAAGTACTACAACCTAAATATGTAGATGGGATGGAAAAATATCACCTCACACATTTATGGATCTTTTAAAGATTTGTTGATTGATTACTTTCTATGTATCTGTTATACTAGGTGCACCAGAAAAAAGGCAGTGAAGTAGAAATAGATTTTCTGGCCACTCGAAACATATGGTAGTTGGTTTTCCTTGCACTGAAAATGGAAGTTTTGTTTTGAAAGTTTCCTCTTGAAATCTCCATATTTGCGTTAAATCATTTCCAACATTTTCATCCTCGTGGATCTTACTGATTATCAACATCCACCCCACCTCTTGCCATTGAATATATTTTAAAATATATTGCCTATCAGACTACATTAATTAGTAATGCATTTCTTAGTAAACGAATATAAATCTGCCCATCAGAGTTTCTAATCAGCGTGAAAAGAACTAATGTTACCACACTAACTTGATGTAATTTCTGTCAAAAGCAAAGATATTTAGCGATTAATTGGCCTGTTTGGCTTAATGTAGACTAATGTATTATTATGTTAGTTAAAAAATAATTGACAATTATTTGAGCATTCTAATTCCTAATTTATGTGAACTTCAGAGGCCTTAGGAACCACTACTTTAGGTGAATATTATTTGATGTTGTTTATATTATTATGTGAAGATGAGAGTGTTCTTAAGGTAAATATTTGCTTTGATTAGAATGGAAACATTTAAATGTTTCTCTGCTACCAGTAAAGCTCTGTTATGATAAATGTGAGAAATTAGGCTACATTTACAGGGAATCTCAGTAAAAACTCACATTTCATTTTTTATTTTATTTTTTCTATTTTTATTTTTTGCGAGGAAGATTAGCCCTGAGCTAACATCTGATGCCAATCCTCCTCTTTTTTTTGAGGAAGATTTACCCTGGGCTAACATCCGTGCCCATCTTCCTCTACTTTATATGGGACGCCGGCACAGCATGGCTTGACAAGCGGTGCTTCAGTGCGCTCCCGGGATCTGAACCTGCGAACCTGGGGCCACCAAAGCAGAGCACGTGCACTTAACCACTACGACACTGGGCCGGCCCAGAACTCACATTTTATATCTTTCCTAAAATTTCCTTTAGGTCTTGGACCTACTCGAGTGGTTGTGGGAGGATCTTTAGGTAGTATTTGGGAAGGGCAAAAGAGAGCTAGGATGTGTGTGGGTGTGTGTGCATTTTCTAAACCACTAAAAATTCTAGTTAGTGTGTACTCTTATATTTCTCAAATAAAGGGAATATTTCTTTTCCAGTAAAATGTTGAAGTTGACGTTTAAAAGATGGAGGATATAAATATATGTATCATTATCAACAATTCCTTCTTATTAATATTTTCACTTAGCATTGTCAAACAGGTATCTCTATCTTGTAAAAAATGCCATAAAGATGGACAGACAGATAGGCAAAGGCACACATTTTGGTGAGGCAGAAATTATTTAATTTAACAGTGTGGGAAACAGAGACAATTCTGCCATTTGATTTGATTTTGACCCTTGAGGGCCTGTTGAAACTTATGGGTCCCTCTAAATAGAAATGTTTCAAAGAAAATGCTGAATGGTTTGCTGGGACTTAAGAGTTTCTGTTGAAAGGAAATATTGCTAATAAATGATTTAAAAAATTATTATAGCATTAAAAAGAGGTATTTCTCTCCTGTTTCACTCTGATAGTCAGTAAATAGCTCGTAAATAACTCTCAAGTCCATCCTTCCTTTTCCATTCCTGTTGCCCCTCTTACTTGGGATTTATCTGTGTTTATTGCAAGAGGCTCTAAACCGTTCTCTCAGTCTCTGCCTCACCCTCCTCTAATCAGCTTCCATACTGCCACTACTGTGATCATCCTTAAGACTCAAAGTCTTGAGTATTTTCTTCTTTAAAATCTCTAGTGGTTTCCCTTTGAACCATAGATAAAGTCTAAACTTCATAGCATAGCATGGAAGGCCCATGCAATCTTTGCCTGCCTTTTCTAGCCTCATCTCTTGCCGTTCCCTCGTTTATGCTTTATGCTTCTGCAGTGCTGAATTGCTTATCTGTCTCTGAACATCCATGCCGTTTCACATCTCTGATTTTTATACATGCTATTCCCTCTGCCTGAGATGCCCTCTCTTATTCTGTAAAATATAGCTCATTTATTATATTTCATCTCCTTTAGAAAGGACTAATCATTCGTCTGCTCTCACTATACCATGTCCATATTTTATTGTTGAGTTTATCCCATTCCAGGTTTGCTTTCCGTTATCGTGAGGTCGTTGCATGGGCTTAGTTTGATTCAGGAATTGGCACCATGTATTCCTGGCATATAGTGAAAGATCAATTGAAATTTATCGAAGGAGGGCAAATGTGAATGTTAAAGTTTATTTAAGAAAATCACATTCACCATCAAATGGGTTAATCTATCAATTTAGTAAACCAGGTTTACTTTTGTTTTTGGCTTTACAATGTGTCCTCTTTGTGTATATCTTTGTTAATTACCATGTTCCTGTGTTGGCTGAAAGACAGATTGGATAAAGACAGGGTAAAAGCAAGAAATTTTGCTATTTGAAATTATTTTAATGGTGTCATTTATGCCTCTCTTTTTTTTCTCATTTGAGATATGGGATTTTTGAACGATGTAAAGAGTTGGTGGAAGCAGGATATGATGTCAGGCAACCAGACAAAGAAAATGTGTCGCTTCTTCATTGGGCTGCTATTAACAACAGGCTGGATCTTGTAAAGTAAGATGGCATATATGTGTGTTAATTAAGTGTGTATTTATAATTCTAGACCTCACCTTCATTTGTCTTTTTCTTCAAGTGCAAGTATGGATGTTGAACCATCTGTAATCCTTTATTGTAAATGAATATCTGGAACTTTGTGTCACACCCATCGGTTATGATAGCATGGAAGAGGACCTCAGAGACTCGCACTGGCCCAAAAAGGAAAATTTAAGATAAAGCCATGGGGGCCCATCATAAAGAATAAAGTTCAGGAAACGAACCTGAAAATGAAAGTGCACATTTTTGGAAAAGAAAAAGCATAACAGACTTCCTCAGGATAGAACAGAAAGTTTCATCTGTTTTAGAAAGAAACATTGAAATGCTTTCTGTTGTGATAATGCCAGGAGGAATAGACAGTTTTTTTTAACTAAGTATGGAATACATTTCTAAGTAGGCATGTATTGGATTGTATAAAATATTTCTCCTTCCTGAAGCACTACTGCCTACCCATTTTTTTTTTGTTTCTTTCTTTGTTTTATACCTTAGCATGTAAAATATACATGTGTATATGTTTTGTATTATACATGTTTAAAATCCTTGAGGTTTAAGAAAATAAAAATATACTAAAGTTTAAAATATTCTAACACATATTATACTCACAGGTAAAACTCCTTTTCTGTGGAAATAAACTGGTGTATTGTTTAGAGAATATGATACGTGAGGCACAACTTTGAAATAATGAGACGAATTCCTGTAAACCACAGAAGAAAATAAGTCTCTTTACCTTATAGGTTCACTGTGTACAGTGCGTCAGTCTGTGCTCCCAAAATAGAAAGCAAAACACTCAAAATGTCTAACTTTCCTGAAGGGATTTTGAATTAATTTTTTACTACTTACTTTTACAATTCATTCCCATATAATAATTCTAATTTTAAACTGTTAAAAGTGACATAATTTGACCTTTCTTCTTGCAAGTCAAGTAGAATATCTGTGTGATCCTAAACCTTTTGAACACAAACCATTTCGAGAACATCGTAGTTAGAATATGCAGGGAGTAGTTATCACGTGTGTGGTATGTGAGTTATGGAATGCTCATGACAGCAGGAGTAATTACTTACATGCCAAGAATTATTTCACCAGGGGTCTGTTTGATGCTGTTGTGTGAATCTTTCTGCAGATTTGAAGATTATTATCATAATTTCTGTTTTTCAACTCATTTGTTACTAAGAAAAATTAATGTTTTCTTTCTCATTATGAATTTCAAGTTTTAAATCTTATTTTCACTTATGTCTGCTTTTAACAGGTTTTATATTTCAAAAGGTGCTGTGGTAGATCAGTTGGGTGGAGATTTAAATTCAACTCCTCTTCACTGGGCTGTCAGGTAAAGGTTTCTATAAACACTGAAATTGCTGTTCAAAATCAAGTGACTTGAGTTCATTTTCTGAACATTATAGATCAGCACTTTCCAACAGAATCTTCTGTAATTACGGAAACGTTCCCTTCTGTGCTGTCCGTTATAGTAGCCGCTAGCCAATGTGGCTAGTGAAGTATGAAATGTGAATTGTGAAATGTGGCTAGTGCAACTAAGGAATTGAATTTTTAATTTTACTTCATTTTAGCTAATTTAAATTTAAATAGCCATGTGGGGCTAGTGGCCACCACATTGGAAATTGCAGTTACAGACAATTTGAAAGGCTTTCTTTTTCTTTTCTCCCTTCATTCAAAAAAGATTACAGTTTAGAGTTTGCAGAGATGACATTTTTTTTTTTTAATTTTTATTTATTTATTTTTTTTCCCCAAAGCCCCAGTAGACAGTTGTATGTCGTAGTTGCACAGTCTTCTAGTTGCTGTATGTGGGACGCGGCCTCAGCATGGCCGGAGAAGTGGTGTGTCGGTGCGTGCCTGGGATCCGAACCCTGGCCGCCAGCAGCGGAGCACACGCACTTAACCGCTAAGCCATGGGGCCGGCCCATGAGACGATATTTTTTGTGTTTAATTTAGGGCTCCACTATGCTGCTCAAACTGAAATATGTGTATTATACTTTCTTTTTTATAATCCAATAAATATCTTTTCTATTTGGTCACATGGATAAAAGTGACAGTTCAGTGAACTGTAAACTCAATCAGTTCTTTCTCCGTTGTGTGTTGACCGTCTGAAGCTGAAGTTAATATGTACTTTTTCATCTTTCATTTTAACTCTACTCTGTGTGGTTGGTGGGGTTGGCGTGAACCTGAAACTAAAGTGAATCATTGTTCATTTAAGGCAAGGAGTTGAGTCTTTTCTCCATAGCCAAGAGTTTTGACAAATCTAGGGCTAGTTCATCCCCTTTAAGCTACTGAAGTAACAGTGCTTTACATGGAAAATGAACCATATTCAAGTATAAAAATGTGTAGTTTCTAAGAATAATATTCTCACAGTGTGCCTGCAGTCTATAAATGTTATACTTCCACATATCTGGCTCATGATTATTTTTTTTTAAATTAGCAGCAGTGAAGTGTGAGTGGTTTTGAAGTTTTCAGTTTTAGCATTAGTCATGCTCTGGTAGCAACGTAAGGTTTAAGGTGGATTGGGAGGTTACGTTTATCACCTGCACTCAAGAAGGGCTGTCCAGATGGTTCTGAGTTTGGAGCATCTAAGTAAAAGATGTTTAGACAATCTCCAGTGTTTAAAAATCTTACTGTTAGGAAATACTGTTTATATCTAATCAAAATCCCTCATATCTTAGGGATATCAGTTTCTCCCTGGACTTTTTTCTTTTTCTGCATGCTACAGGATACAGTATGATTTTTATCCTCTATTTACAGACAAGGGCATTTACCTATGGTCATATTATTACTGCAGTGTGGTGCAGACCCCAGTCTCCTCGACGGGGAGGGATTCAGCAGCATCCACCTGGCAGTGTTATTTCAGCACATGCCTGTTATAGCGTATCTCATCGCAAAGGGACAGGTATGTTTTGAAATGTATCTTACGCTCCAGCTATTGTAGATCTGAGAGGTTGGGAAGATGGTTAGTAGTAGTCTGTCCTCTTTTTTTTGTGTGTGAGGAGATCAGCCCTGTGCTAACATTTGTCAATCCTCCTCTTTTTTTGCCGAGGATGACTGGCCCTGGGCTAACATCCGTGCCCATCTTCCTCTACTTTATATGGGACGCTGCCACAGCATGGCTTGCCAAGCGGTGCTTCAGTGCGCGCCCGGGATCCAAACCGGCAAACCCTGGGCCGCCGCAACGGAGCGCGCGCACTTAACCGCTTGCGCCACCGGGCCGGCCCGTGTCCTCATTTTTTAAAGTAGAAGTTATAGATATCCACGTATTCAGATATTAGCCTCAGTAAGTCTAGCTGTTGAATACTGCTTTTCCAGCTTCCTTGGTGCAAAAAGGACAGGTCATTTAGCTCAGTAATGTATGACAGATGTTTCTGAAACTTGTAAGCCTTTAATAGTTTTCCTTATGAGCCTAGTAATTTGCAGAGTTTTTTAAAAATGGGACTTCAAAGCCTGTATTTTTCTTCTGGTTGAAGGTAGAAATGGTAGTCACATCTCTAAATTAACCCGTTATTTGCTTTCATTATTTGAGTCCAAATGGGAGACCAAGTTGAATGTATGCTTCTTATTGTTCTCTAAAGTAATTCTATGAAAAATGACTTGCCTTAAGAGGCATCCATTTATGGCACAGGTTAAATTATAGGTTATTGGCAATGGGAGTTTCACTGCCTGGGGTATGCTTTCTGATAGCCGTTTATGTATCAGCAGACTCGCCTGTAACATGTGGAAACATGTTTGCACAAGTGCTGTTGGAATGATTGTACTCTCTTTAAATAAGCACCTTCTCTCAGACTTAGCCAATTGAAATAGAATAATTATAACCTCCTGGGTCTCATTTTGGAAAGAGGTATGAGGAGGAGTCCTTACTGCTTCTCTTTGGGCTCCTTCCCAGGCTGTATTCCTCCAAGGCCCGTGAGACTCTTTAGTAACTGAAGCTTGCTCTTTGGCTCTGTTGGAACCCTTATTGTACACCTCAAACCTGGACCCCTTTTATTAAAGGGGCATATCCTCGTGGTGATGTGATTTCCTTTTTTTTCTGTATTCTAGAAAATAGAATTTTTCATATTTTACTATTTGGAACATAATATGTTAAGTCCAAAAATACAACGAGTTGTCTCAAAAGATAAAGAGTTTACCAATACTGGAAGTGTTTAAGTAGAGCCTGGATGACTTTGTGTAGGATGATAGTATGCATTAATGTGTTACTTAAGGTCTGAGCTAGATGATTTCTATGGTCGCTGCAGTCTGTTTTATTTGATGGTGATTATCAACGTTTTTCTCTTTCCCTTAGCTCTCTTCCATTCACATCATACAATACTTTAAGTCATATATTTAGATTTTCCCTTTAAAAATATTTTGTAGAGGGCCAGCCCTGTGGCCTAGTGGTTAAGTTCAGTGCACTCTGTTTCAGCAGCCCAGGTTCGGTTCTCGAGCTCAGACCTACACCGCTCTGTTAGCGGCTGTGCTGTGCTGGTGGCCCACATACTAAAAAAATAGAGGAAGACTGGCACGGACGATAGCTCAAGGTGAATCTTCCTCAGGAAAAACAAAAACATTTTTGTAGAAATTAGTGGATTTTTACCATAGGGATGTGAAGCAGAACTTTTTTTTATTCAAATGATATTTGAACCCTTCTTGTGGTCACAATGGTTGTGTTGAGTGTATTAAAGAGATACTCCTGTTAAGAGAAGAAAGAGAACTTTGTGTTTAGTTATGCTGATTTACTCTTCTTTTTGACCAGAGTGTGAATATGACAGATGTAAATGGGCAGACACCTCTCATGTTAGCAGCTCACAAAGTACTTGGGTGAGTTTAATTCAGTTGTCTCATTTTGATTCTTGTTTCCAACAGTTTCTTTTCCATATACATAATTTTAAGTATCTCAGTCTATGAGAGATGACGCTGCATTCTGAGGAAGAAAATAAGATTTTCCACCCTGTGACTGTGATATGCTCTTTTAATGTAGTTGTAGTTAGAAAAGCACCATTGAAGTAAATTTTCTCTTTTCTGGTAGCTTTGGGGGAAAGTTTGAAAGCTACTAATAAGAAAAAAATTTCCTTATTGAACAGATGGAGATTCCATAGCATATACTTGTTAACATGACTTAGATTTCTTAGTTTGTGTTAAGAAAAAATGGCATGTTTAAATGTCCTCATAATTTGAGATCTAGATGATAAATCTGGTTTCTGGAAAACAGTAAATATTAAGGTTCTCTGACATTGTTGACTGTTCTGAAAATATTAATGTAGCTGATCCGTAAAAAGAGTCTGTTTATATGTTCATATTAGGTACTTACCTGTTTAAGTTTTTCTGTGTATTTATTTTATAAACATGTGTGATTAATGACCACCATATAATCCAGCATGTAGTGTTCTTCTTCTTCAAATACATGCTACAGTTTTCCCTTTACAGTTTGTTTCCATTGTTGTACTTAATGTCTGTTTCTGGTTTTACTTAGGACTTCTCTCCAAGGAACTGAGTTAATTCTAATGCCGTTTCTTTTTTGTTAGCGGAGTGGTGGGGCTGGGGTAGAATTTTGTTAAACATTTTGTCGTCTTCGCTGATAACTCTGAAGTCGGGTATAGTGTTTAAAGATCTTGATAGAATAAGTAACGTAGGATGTTGTTTTATTAAAAGAATCTCTTGAGTGGTCATGAAGGTAGGGAAGGTATTGATGGTAAAGTAAAAATATTGAATTCTGTTCTTCCAGTCTATAATTTTCTAAGATACACAAATATTTTAGGACATTATTTATACCTGACTTATTTAATAATTAGTTGGAAGGAGAACGTGAAGTTGGTTTTTGGTTTATCTCCTTACCTACAATGTTGTACATTTAGTCTTTAAACGTATCATTTAACGTATCATTTAATATTGGCCAGAGGTAAATTTACGATTTAAAAAAGATGTTAACCAATAGAACAAGATGAAAGTAAAAGTTTGAAAAACAAAAGCAGCTATTTCACTGTATTGATGTTAAAATAATTATATTATCTATATAGCAGACTGTCACTTTTTCTTTTTTTGGATCTCTCCTATTAGCACCTAGAACTCTGCACAAAGAAGTTTCTCAGTTGTTTGGAATACTTACTGATTGGTTAATTGGTACATTAGCTTAAAAGTTTCATTATTTGCATTTACCCTTCAAATCATCATTTCTTTTAATACCCCTTGGTATTTTATTGTTTTGAGACAGGCCAGAACCAACTGGATTTCTTTTAAAGTTTAATCCTGCTCTCAATGTGGTTGATAAAATACACCAGAACACTCCGCTTCACTGGGCAGTTGCAGCAGGAAATATTAATGCCGTCGATAAACTTTTGGAAGCTGGTTCTAGCCTGGATGTCCGAAATGTTAAGGTATGACCAGGTGTTGCTCTCCTTTATTATATCTTCAGTTAGAAGATTGGTAGATTAACATAAAGATAAGCGATATACGTTTTCAGTTACCACAAGGTAGATATAAACAATGATAGGTGGCTACCCTCGCAATAAATGTGTTGAGGCTATGATTCTGGTGAGTTTTTATAAAATGTTTAGCATTCATAATATAGTGAAAATATAACTGAACTTTTTCTTTCATTCTTTTTTAAAGGGAGACACACCTCTCGATATGGCTCTACAAAACAAAAATCGGCTCATTATTCACTTGCTAAAAATGGAAGCCAAAATGAGAGCCAACGAAAAGTTCAGACTTTGGAGGTGGCTGCGGAACTGCGAGGTATTTTCATATGTGGGCGCTAAGAATATTTTGTTTATTTATTTTGTTTTTTAAGGCATCAGGGGAAACCAGGGAGTAGGCTTAGTGCTGCATTATATCTGCCGATTGTATCTTTCCCGTGCATCCCACACCTCAACAGCAGAGATTTCGCTCTTTGATTGGCAGTTTATCGTTGGTCCTCAGCTAGATGGCTCTAAAACTGCATGTTACTTTTTTAATATCATGGCATATTTCCACGTGTATTTAGTGAGTGAATTGAAACAAAAAATGGTTTAGATTCTTAGAGAAGTGAAAAGAAAAATACTTTGTTGCAAGGAATTTTATAGAAGCTTTTCTTAAAGAGCTGGTTCCTTATTAAAATTTTTTTCAATAGAAAAATTCATTCAGAGTGTTTTGTTAGAATCATGAGGAGTTAGACTTGAAAGGTGACAATGTTGCAAACTTCAAGGATGTGATGTCATTTCATAAAATAAAAAACATCTGGGATTTTGAGAGGTGAAACCCAAATTTTGTTCATTTTTTAACTTAGCAGTCTTCTGAGTGGTGTTCTTCTGTCCTTAAAAGTGAACTGAGCACTAGAAAAAGTTAGGAAGTTCCGTTTGTTCTTATGAACGGCTAACAAAAATCTAAGTCATAATAGTGAATTTAATTCAAATTGTTAAAATGGGGTATTGAATTGATTCCACTATTTTTAGTGTTTTCAAATATGATAGATTGTATCATCTTATCTAAAAATAATTAGTGCTTACACTTTCAGAATGATTCTAGATTAACAGACACTAGATTTCTATGCAGAGGGTCGTCGTGGGTACTACACCTATTTTACATTTAGGTGTGTGGAGGGAGAGAGAAGGAAGTAACGGTTACTCCTCAGTCTCCTTTGCCACCCCTCTGCTTCTCCCCAACCGCTTATTGGCAGAGGCCCCCAGGATTTTGTCCTTGGACCCCTTTTCTGTCTGTTCATTCCCTTGGTGATGTCACGCACTTCCATGGCTTTAAAAGCCATCTATATGTTGACAGCTCCCACATTTATCTCTAATTGAGACCTTTCCAGACTCATATATCCAGTTACCTACTTGACTTATCTGGTTCAGTGTCTGACAGGCATCTCCGACGTAACACATCCACACCTGAACTCCTCATCTTCTCCCCACCCTCCCAACTATTCCATCCACAGCCTTCTCCGTCTCAGCAGGTGGCAACTCCAGCTTTCCAGCCGTCTTTGCCTTTTCTTTGTCATTGCCATGGATCCAGTCCATCAGAAAAACATACTGCCTAGTTCTGCCCTCAGTTTATATCAGAATCTGACTCCTGCTCCCCACTCCGCCAGTGGCATTTTGGTCCATCCACAATATCTTTCATGTGGATTGCTGCAGTTGTCTGACTTCTCTCTGCCCCCCCATCACCTCCAGTCTATTCTCAACACTGCAGCTACATGAATCTTTAAAATGTAGGTCAGATCCTGTCATTCATCTGCGCAGAATCCTGCACTGTCTCCCCCGTCTCTCAGAATAAAAGCCAAAGTCCTTACAGTGGCTTACAAGGCCCTGTGTGATCCAGCTTTTTATACACTGTAAAATTCACTAGTACGTTTGTCTGTATGTCTTCCCCTGCTAGAATTTAAGCTCCGTGAGAGAAGACCTTAAATTCGTTGATGTGTTCCAAGTGCCTGTAACAGCACCTAGCATACAACATGCACTGGAATATTTGTTGAATGAGTAAATAGTGTGACTCATCTCTGAGTGTTATATCTGGGATTAAAATCTTAAGATCCATATTTAATTCTTATTTCTGTTCTGAGATTATGTTGCTTGTAGATTCTAAATTTACTTTTTAAAAAAAATCTAAACTTGCTTATTTGTGTTATCATGCATATTAAAATTGGAAACGTTTTAAAGACTTGATATCATTTGAAATTATCCACCCTCGGAGTATGGCTTAGAGAAGTAGAAATTGAAGAAGATAGGGCAGAGTGTATTTCCTCCCTTTGCTATTGCAAAAGCCGGCTTGCTCCCCAGGTCGTGTAGACTGCAGTTAGTGCATTGCACAGACGTCATGCCTGGCCGATGGTCACACTTTTGGTTCATAGACGTTTCATTCTTTTAACTTTTCCAGAAAAACCTGAATTATTAGCGTCCTGTGGACATGTTTCAGTCTTTGGCCTCCGTGTGACATTTGGCACCAAGAAACTACTCCCTTCTTGAGACTCTCTTGCCTGGTTTCACTGGAACCTTTCTCCTGGTTCTCATCTGCCTTTCTGGTCACACTGGTCACTCTTTCTTAGTTACCTTTGGGGACTTAGCTTTTTTGCCTGTCAGTGTTTGTGTTGGCCGAGATTCTTCCCCTTTCTGCCTGCACACAGTCCCGGGACGTTGTTCACCTGTGGTGTTGCCACCTGCTATTGATGAACACCGAGTTTTCTCCTGGGTCGTAGCCCTGGTTTTATGACTGCGTCCTGAATTTCTCCTAGATGTCCATAGGCATCTAAAGTTCCATATGCCCTAAACTAAACTCATCTTTTCTGCAGACCTGTTCCTTCTGACTTTCTTTATTAGAGGATGGCACCGTCTGGTGCCCAGGTTGGAACTCTTGTACTGTCCTCATTAAGTCTTGGGTGTGTTGATTTTTCTGTGGTCCCTTTGTCTTGCTTTATGCTTTCTGACATGTAATACTTTTTGAAAGAAATTATTTTTTAAAATGTGAGCTATCATTAGCACTTTTCTAAAAGACCGCTGTTTCTTGGAAGGGGGGGAAAGCAAAACAAATATGTTTAAGCAACGTTTTTAAAATGTAAGCCTTTTAAAAGATTGTTTCTAAGATTTGTAATTTCTCAAACTTCAAATTTATCAATCAGCAATTTTGAAGAAAATTGTGTTCTGCCGTTGTATTGTTTTTATATATTTAGGAGGTGGTTCTTCTATTACACTAATTATTATTAGATACGTAGGAGGTAAAATCCATAAAGTTCTGAAATTCTGCATCTCTTGATAGCTTTTCCTGCTGCTGATGCTTTGTGTGATTACCATGTGGGCTGTTGGATACATCCTGGACTTCAATTCAGATTCTTGGCTTTTAAAAGGATGTCTTCTAGTAACATTGTTTTTTCTGACATCTTTGTTTCCAAGGTGTGTATACTAGTCTTTGCAAGGCTGGTTATTGAATTTCCAATTTGATTGCTTATTTTTATTGTCAGTTAGCTGGAATCACAGATTTTTATTGAGCTATGAATGTTACTTATTACCATGTGGAAATATCCTCAGGGTGGTGGGAGAGAAGGGCTTTGGTAGCAGATGATTTGTCTGAAAGCAAATTGGTCAACCCCGTAATTTGATTGAATTGGCAATTGGTGGAAAATAAATATCCTAGCTCACTTTTTGAATTGTTAATTTTGGTGAATAATGGGAAGATTTTTGTAACTATTTTGCATCCTGAAGCATTTTTGCCCGTTTTTCAGAAATTTTGTTTTTTCCTTTTCTAAATCTAAATTTATTTTAAGCTAGTTATTTTTTGCTCTTAATGTTTTTTAGTTGAAACAAGCTAATTAAGTCATAGGAGATAAAATAGTAACTATGGTATAGTTCTCTTTTTAGGAAAATATTTATGCATGATTATGTATAGTCAGTGGGTAAGAGTTAGATTGCCTGGGTTCAGGTCAAGCTTTACCACATTACAGTGTGACCTTGAATAAGTTGCTTTACATAAACTCTGTGTGCCTCAATGTCTTCATCTGTAAATGAGGATAATTGTGACAATGCCTGCCTCATGGTCAATACATATACAATGGTTAGAACCATGGCTGACACACAGCACTCAATAGTCATGTCACACCCCAATCTCTTCTTCTCGCTTCCCTTTCTTAGTAAGACGGCATCTGTTTCCTCATGTGAATAATGAGTATCGTCCTTGGATTACTGTCGTCCTCACTTCTTCCCTTCTCTTCACTTCCCACATCTAGCCCATTGCTAAGTCCTTCCTGCTCTCCCTCCAATTGGTCTGCTCTCTCCATCGCCTCACCTGGCACCCTAGACCCTAGACCCAGCCTCCTAACTGGCGTCCTGACTTCAGCACTTACCCCTATAGTTCATCCCCACTTATATCGGGGTGGTCTTTTAAAAGGCATGTCCATTTCTGTCATTTCTCCCTGCTTAAAGCCCTCCTTCAGTGGCTTTTCCTTATACTCAGAAACCCAACTCCCTGCTTATGAGGTGTTATGTAATTCATTCCCTCCGCTCTGACTTCATCTTTTTCCTCTCTTCCCTTCACTGCTCTCCAGGCTCCTTTCTGTTTCTAGAACACATCACACTCATTCCCACCAGGGCCTTGGCTGATACCACATCCTTGCTTATCTGGAGACCGCGTTCAGGCCTCAGTTTCAGTGCCGTCTCCTTAGTAAGGCCATTCCTGACGAACTCTGCTGCATCACACTGATTTACTTTCTTCATAGCGTGTCATCACTGTTTCCTGGAATATATGACCCAGACAAGCAGGAAACCTATCTCTCCTGTTGAACATTTTTTTTTTTTTTTGTGAGGAAGGTCAGCCCTGAGCTAACATCCATGCCTATCCTCCTCTTTTTTTGCTGAGGAAGACTGGCCCTGGGCTAACATCCGTGCCCATCTTCCTCCACTTTATATGGGACGCTGCCACAGCATGGCCTGACAAGCGGTGCGTCGGTGCGCGCCCGGGATCCGAACCCGGGTCGCCAGCAGCAGAGAGCGTGCACTTAGCCACTACGCCATGTTGAACATTCTCATTCACTTAATGAAAGAAAAATGTGGTGATGATGGTCCCTAGAAAAGGATCTGGAAGGAGGTACGCTGTTGCTCTCCTCCGGGTGTGATCATGCGTATTCCTGTGCTCTTCTTTCGCTTGCCAGCATTTTCTGGAATAAGCATGCGCCTTTTGTCATAAGAAAAAACAAAGTATTAGAGGAATCTTGCCACTTGGTCACTTAAGAGCGGGACAGTTGGCTGGAAATGAATTAGAATTTAAAAGTAAAGTAAAAGCTCAAATTTCTGAAAAATAGCAAAATGCCTAAAATTATCTACTATTCAGAAAACTTGTAACTTGGAGATATTCATTCATTTTCCACTAATTGGATTGACTTAGTCTCCAAATAAATTTCAAGCCAAATCACCAGGAATCATAATCATCACTTTTTTTGGTTTTTGGTTTTTTTTCAGAGAGAAAGCAAAGGCTTAGCAATATCTACTTACCTAGGATAGTGGCATTTGAGATTTTTTTGATTTCGTAGAAACCCACATTGTAAAAAATTTATATGAAAACGTTTATTTTTGATGACAGTGAGTTGAGGGCTTCCTTAGCTAGGCTTGGCGTGTGGCCACATTCAAATAGGAGACAAATGCACATGGCAACTTTATCTATGCTGCTTTCCTTTCTCCCCCACTCCTCTAGAGTCCCAATTTCATGGAGGTAAGCAGCTGCAAAATTCTACAGTTATTAGGCTGCAGGGGTGGTTGCTTGTGGACGCAGCCTGCCATGTGAGCCTGTCAGAAGGACACAGGTCATGGTAGCAGGCTCTTACAAGTTAGGTAGTCCTCTGCACTCCTTAATCCGGTCACACGCGTCTTTGCTGCAGCGTCTCAGACAGGTCACGCCCTGGGCTTGCCTGTGCTCCGTCTGGCCTGTTCTGGCAGCATACTGGGTGCCTGAGGTTTGGGATCTTTAGTTCTTCTCAGATATTACTTTATCATAGTTATGCTTATGATCTTGATGGCTTTTTTAAACCCTTTTCATACCCATCATCAACCATTGTTTTTTCCTGGTATAAATTTTAAAATAGATCCAAATAAACTATATTCATGCATAGATTTACTATATTATTCCATGTAAAAGAGAGATTTTTTCTTTTGAAATTACAGTATAAGCATTTGAATAGGTTATATGTGGACTTCCAAGTTGCTTGTTACCCAAGTAAGGTGGTTAGTGTTCTGATGACTAGTGCCACTTGTAGCCTTATGTATCTTTTTTTCTCTTTGTGAGGAAGACCAGCCCTGAGCTAACATCTGTTGCCAATGCTCCTCTTTTTGGTGAGGAAGATTGGCCCTGGGCTAACATCTGTGCCCATCTTCCTCTACTTTATATGGGATGCCGCCACAGCATGGCTTGACAAGCGGTGTGTTGGTGTGCGCCCGGGATGGGAACCTGTGAATCCTGGGCCGCCGAAATGGATCGCGCACACTTAACCGCTGCACCACCGGGCCGGCCCTACCTTTATGTATCTTTTTATGTAATAGAGTGTCTCCTTCTCAAGCTGGTTGTGAGATGAAAGTGCATCTGTATGTTTCAGAAATACACTGCTAGCCTCTAGAAGAGAGCTTGTTAAATGTGAAGGTGAATCTCTAAGGATTTAAATCTCTGCATTTTGGAGTTTTGAAAATATGATATGCCAAAAAAAGAAATACAAATAGGATATATCAACAGAAATAAAAAAGGTTCATTGAAAATATAAAGTAATATAAAGGAATGAAATGATGTATAAGTTATAAGAACTAGAATATTCACTTCTTGAGAGTCTTTGTGCTTCAGTTTTCTCGTTTGTAAAATGGGGTGATGATGGTACATAACTCTATTGCCACATGGAAAGTGGCACATGGTGAGCACGCAGTAAGTGTAGGGTGTTGTAGTTATTTAAGGGAATCATCATCATTATTATTATTATTATTATTAGTTAAGGGAATTTAGAACTAAAGTTAATATGAATCATATTTGTTTTCACTAACAGCTTATGTTTATCCTTTTTTCTTTTAGGTTCTTGTTTGGGTATAAGAGCCTTGTGTACTTACCGACGGTCTTTCTGCTAAGTTCCATTTTTTGGATATTTGTGACTTGGTTCATCTTATTCTTTCCTGATATCCTTCAAGCTTAAATGTAAATGCATATCATATCTCATTTTGCCTTTAAAAAATAGTAATGCCATTGTTATAAATTTGGATATGAGAAGAGATCCAGGCAATGCAACTCACTTTTGTATTCGTTTAATGATTCTGGCTGAAGATGTTTAATGTTGAAAATCTACTCAATTCTGGAAATAATCTCAGAGCACACTGTGGAAACAGTAGGTGTCTAGTATTTATTACTCATAGGAAGGAAATAGTGGGATGAATTATTGTCCTACTTGGACTTAGAAAAATTTGTTGTATTGCCTTGAGATTCCCTTCAAGGTCAGATAGTCCGTTTGACTTGGTCAGCAGTTATAGTTGATAAATAAATCTTCTGGGTACCAGATGGCCTGTATGGGAGGGCTATTGGGGGAAATGTGTCCCCTCAGCAATGGTTAGTGCAGTGTTATTAGCCATGGCGGTGATTCTCAATCCACAGTAAAAATAAACTTACATCGCCACCCAAAACATATGTAAAAAAAGTTAATACTCTTAATATGTGCTTTACTCTGATATTTTGTTATTTTACCCTATTCTATTACCTTGTTGAAAAATGCTGGTCACAGCTCATTTAATTCTTTCATGGCCTACTAATGGATGCAGCCCATGGTTTTTTGTTTTTTTTTTTTTTTTTCAAAAAGCTCATGTAAGGCATAGGTTTATCACTCAAGGAGCAGGGCCCAGGCCAAGCCCAGCTTAGGGGTGTGTTGTGCTCTTAGGGTTGGTCAAATCCAGTCACCCAGAAGTGGAGAGTGGCAGTATGTCTTGTTTTATAGCTTTTTATAGATCCTGTTAGGAGGGAGGCATTTTCTCCAATTTTCCATCTTCCCACCTCTTCGCAGTCTCCCTTCTCCCCTTCCAAGGTCCCTGGGAAGCCGTGCTAGCCTTGCTTTCATTACTGGGTAGGAAAAGAAGGAATGTGGTGGAGGGAAATGTACCTTTAAGCATATTGCTTTAAGTTCTGTGTTATTTCTCTTTCTTGTAATGGCGTTTTTGAAAAGAAAGAACAGTGCTTATGGGAGAGATGCATACACTCAGTTCAAGAATATTTTTTCATCGGAATAAACGTAAAGTGAGGGAGGCCTGTGAGTTCTCAGAGTGCACACATGTACCTTCATTATAGCATGTTTTTACTTTAATGATGCTTTTTAATTCTGAGCATTATCTCTAATATTTTTCTGATTCCTTTATCTAAATGAGGTCATTTGACTTTTTTTAAAAGATTTTATTACATCTAACCTTTGTCTCATAATTACTGATTTAGGGGCAGATTTTTAAGCACTAGTCTTATTACCACCACTTAGTAAGACTTGGAGTATCATTATGTGATATAAAAATACTTTATAAGTAACCGTGAGTGTATAAAATAACAGCACAGGACTCATCAAAATCACTTGTAGAAGTTCCTGGTGAATTCTAGGGTAATTGACATGATACTCAGAAGGTCTGGCTGATATTTTTGTTTACCGACCCATGTGGCAGTGGGTAGACGCAGTTTTTAAATTGCGTTTCTTGATGAATTTTTAAAAATTTGAGCCACCCACATTATTTCATATTTTGCACAAAATGTGAGATAGATTTTATTTTAAATTATTTCAAATGTGCATAATCAATATTAACAAAAATGTAACTCTGCTGTAGTTTGAAAACCTCAATTAAAGAACTTAGTATTCAGTTGAGTTTAACTATAAACTGTTCAATATTTCTGAAGATGCCATTGCATTAGAAGAGCTGATTTCCATAGCTAGACAGAGTCTCAAGATGCTGGAGTTGACAGGATGAGTATTTAACTCTCATAAAGCTGTTTGATGGAGGCACCCATATGAGCCTGCTGCTGGTGAGGGCGTGTCAGTCAGGAGGGGGCGCACTTTGCCATCAGATCAGTGTTTTTCAAGCCGGATGTTAGATGCTGTTGGAACTGCCCTGGGTATGCACTGAGGTGCTGCCCTGCACAGACCCATCCCGAGTGTCTGAGGGTGCCAAGTCCGGATTGCGTGGGGCTCTACAGCCACCTTGTCCCTTACGGGAAGAGGAGCTGGGGCCCTGTGGAAGGAGTATGGTCTTTGGAATTAGAATGAGTTGGCGTTTTGGCTCTTTTTCATACTAGTTCTGTCCCATTGGGAGTTACTGAATTTCACCGAGTCTCAGTTTTCCTGTCAATTGGGGATAATGGTCCTGAGCTTGTGGGCGGCTTCGAGGATGACTGCTGCGATGTCTGTGAAGTGCTGACCGAGTTCTCACTGCGTGATTGGCGTTCTGTAGATAATCCGTGTTATTTTGTTATTATTAATTACTCTTAGGAACAAAATCTGAGTAGAAGGCCCCATGTTGAAATTCATTTTAAGAACAGCTCTAGTTTAGCTTCTCAGACAATCACGTTCTTTTGGTGCATTTTATATATTCAGTAAGTAACGTATTTGGCCTTTATGAGGCAGGATTGAGTGAAAGAGACAGGACCTTACTGAGGGTTTTGGAGGTAAGATGAAGACTCAGGGAAGAAATGGTGAACCACTGAGCGTTCATTTGTGATTCTGGCCGTGGCTAACCGAGTTAAGTGTAAGAGGGATGAGTACGTGGGAAGTGCTGTTTCAGAGAATCCGTGTGTACCAGTACCTGTTGTGGTGACGATGATGTAGCTTCAGGTCCAGTGGGAAGGAACAGGAGCATTGACTAAAGGCACGGTCTGGGTAGTGACGCAGCTGTCAAGGAAGCCAGTGTGTTCTCCAGTAGCAGTGTGAGGATTTGAGTGTCCAAGCAGAGGACAACAGCAATCTCGCTGTCCTCTGCACTGGCAGCACACACCTGAAGTGTGTTTGCTCTGTTTTCATTGCTGTTCTTTTAAAAGAGACAAGGTCAGACGGGAGCACGGACGGAGGAACGTGACCAGAAGACTGTTGTGTAAGGAACAGTGTTGTCACTTATCCTGGAGGTGTGAGCACTGCCTTTTAGTTTCAGGTGTTTGGATGGCTATCATCTGGAAGCCAGTGCATTGTATAGAATGGGCGCTCGATGGAAGTGTAGTGCACAAATGAGGACTGAGCTTCTGTCAGGTGGTTGTAAAGGACAGCTCTAGTGTAGATCCAAAGTGTGGAGCTGAAGGGTCTGCAGAACGAAAACCAGTCAGTCAGGTTCCAGAAAGGCCAATTTTAGCTCCCTACTGAGAGACTTTCTAACTGCAGAAGGGTCACGAGCTCCCTGACATGTCTATAACAACTATCGTCTCAGCTCTAAGTGCCATTGAATAAGCGTTCTTAGGTTCAGGGAAGGGAAGAGAATCCTCTGTAGGGGATCAGGAAAGACCTGGCAGGGGAGGGAGAATCTAAGTGAGGTCTGGAAGGCGGGTAGGACTTGGACTTCCTGAAAGTGTGGTTTTAGAAGTAGATGGGGAAGTGGGAGCGTTTGGGGTCAATGAACCACACGAACAAAGGGCATGGAAGCAAGGGGTGTTTGCTTTTATGTGAGGGGATATAGTGCAATTCACTTCACTTGGAGAGAGAATCCAGTTATTCTCCTCGGACTGGTTTTGAAAGTTATTCAGAACAGGAGCCCAACAGTCAGCTCAACATGCAGGATCATCATATGATTCAACCGAATGTGGCTTTGAGAGTGTGTCATGTGTGTTGATCACAATTTTTTGTGTGTGTGTGAGGAAGATCAGCCCTGAGCTAACGTCTGTCACCAGTGTTCCTCTTTTTGCTGAGGAAGACTGGCCCTGGGCTAACATCGGTGACCATCTTCCTCCACTTTTTATATGGGACTCCGCCACGGCATGGCTTGACAAGCGGTACGTTGGTGCGCGCCCAAGATCCGAACCCCGGGCCGCTGCAGCAGAGTGCGCACACTTAACCGTTCCGCCGCCGGGCCGGCCCTGTGTGTTGATCACAATTTTATGGGGATGTGATCCTTTAGCAAAAGGTCTTGATCTATGTACTTTTTTTTTTTTTTTTTTTTGGTGAGGAAGATTGGCCCTGAGCTAACATCTGTGACAGTCTTCCTCTATTTTGTATGTGGGTCACTACCACAGCATGTCTTGATGAGTGGTGTAGGTCTGTGCCCAGGATCCAAACCCATGAACCCGAGACGCCAAAGCGGAGCATGTGGAACTTTAACCCCTGTGCCACTGGGCCAGCTCCTTCACCTGTGTACTCTTTAATAGTGTTCTTCCTGATTCATTCTAAGTAAGCTTTATTCATTAAAACTCAGTTTCATACCACTTTTCTGGACCCTATCTCTTTCACAAAGCCAGGCCCATCTGCAGGTAAACTGATTAACTAAACCAACAAGATTTGTTCTTGTCTACTTGAACCAGATGGGGTTTGCTGCGTTTTGTGGGTTAGAGCAGTGCTCCTGAAACTGTAATGTGTGTGTGGATCCCCTGGGGGTCTTGTTAAATTCCAGAGTCTGGTTCTGTGGGGCTGGAGTGAGGTCTGAGTTCTGCCTTTCTAACAAGCTCCCAGGGAGAGCCGCTGATGTGGGTCCCTGGACCACACTTGGGATAGCAAGGGTTTAGGGTCTACTTTATGGCCATCTTTTCCACTCTGAGTTTTGGCAGAAGACCACTTGGCAACACTTTGGAAGTTACTGTGTCAGTAATGATTTGAATCGGGCCGGGAGAATTGGTTTACTCCTGGTGTATTAGTTTGTTACTGCACGTTCTTTTTTCTTTCCCTGGAGGGGATTTTTACTTTTCATACAAAGAATTTGTACCACTTCAAAAACATTTCAAAGCAGGTAATGTTTATCCTGGAAACACTTTTTATCTTAATTTATCCATAGTATCTGCTTTCCCAAATAGTGTTTGATTTATAATCACTTTGCAGGGAGAACAGTTTCTTTGGTGTGTTTCTCAATTGACTCTTGCTAATACACTTACAAGGATTAGGTAGTAAACTTTCCAGTAGAAAATTTTTGAAAGTATTTATCTAATATATAGGGAAATAGTTTTAGTTGGAATCTCTGAACCAAGTGGCTTGTTTCTTGGAATGATTTTGTTAAAATGACCAGAAAATATTTTTTTTAGCTGGTCACAGGAGAGCCGCAGTTACACCATTAGAGATTAATCTATTTGGATCTTAAATGTTTTTCAGTCTTCAGGATGTTCTTCATATATTGCAACTATTCCTGTCAGTACTTCCTGTGCGTTTCAACTAATGAGGAGGGATTAATTATTAGCCAACAGTGAGCAAGTTCCAGTAGGATCAGAACATGGGATGGGGCCCCCAAACATAACATTTAGGGGCAGGGATGTGTGTACGTAAGGGAAGGTGAGGATAGAATGCAGAGAAGGGAGATTCTTAGGCCCCAGTTATGAAACTTGCTTACGTCATAATTATGCTCTTCTTAATGGAAGTCTGATACGTTCCTTAACTTGGCTTTAACATGTAGCAGGCACCCCTTTCTATTTTGCTTTCCTTCTCAGCATAGCAGGCTTCCTCTACTTTTTCTACAAGACTTGGGCAACCGATCCAGGCTTCACTAAGACTTCTGAAGAAGAAAGGAAAACGGTGAGCCTTCTTTGTGATGCTACTGATTTTTTCCTTGGGAGGGTATGTGAACTTCAGAGGGTCATAGCCATGTTGGTTTCTGTCCTGGCTGCGTCTCTAGTGCCTGGCACCTAATAGGTGCAGCGTAAACGTGGAATGCTTAAATCAGCAAAGGAGAGTTCTCCCCTGTCATGCTGTTTCATTTATTTTATGAAAGTTTTAAGAAATATTTTTGTTTTCTGTTAAAGTAGAACCCCACCAAGACTTTGTCAGATGTGATTTCTGCTAGCAGATAGGAGCTCCTCCTTGTTTATGGTAACACTTAGATAATGATCATTTAGCTTCAATTTAACACAGGGAGGGTAACTAGGCAGGAGTCCCCCCGACTGACTGAGAAGGTGCCCCTTCTGTTCCTCAGATGTGAGTTGTCAGGTGACTTGGCGTGTCTGCGTTGCTCATGAATATTTAGCAGTTGGGGAGAGAGTCGTCATCTTTGTTACCTAACACCAGTGTTCCTGAAAGACTGAGCCCTGGGTGCTTATAAGCACCAGTTTTGATGTATACTGATGGCTTTTGTTTCTTTTTGATGAGTGTATATGTATGTATTTATTTTTCTCCAGCAGATTATAACTGGGAGATGATTGCTGTTCATGGAGAGAAGGAGGGGTGTAATTTTTGTGCATTCTAGTTTATTGGCTATGGTTGAAAATGCAGCCTTGAAAAGTCACATTATTTTAAGCACAGAATGATTTAGTGGCAAGTCTTCCAAATTGCTTTTCTAGCTACCTCAGTTCAGAGAGAGGGCTGTGCGAATTGTATATAACTGTGCGTTATACGTTCCCCAATGAAACGTAAACGTGAGGTCAAACTTCCTGTCTTTCAGAACATCATCACCCTTGCAGAGACAGGCTGTCTGGACTTCAGGACATTTTGTACATCATGTCTTGTGAGTGAGTCTTTTCTTTATGATTTTTTTCCCATAGTAAAAGCAAATTCTTGGTTACGTTGCTCATGTAAGCGCTTGTCAAATCTTCATGGTATGTTTATACACCTTTGTTTTCACCAGGTTCTCATTTTGCATTGCTGCCAGAACAGTTTTCTGCCTTGACCATATGGGAGCGTGATGTTTGTAATCTCTTGCAGTTGCCTGTGGTTAAATCTCTCTCTGTGTTTGTTGGCTTTTTCCTGCCATGAGGCGTACATTAGAGCTCACTGGGAGTCAGAGGCTCATGATCACCCTGGAAGCCACTCAGTGAAACCTCTCATTTTGCAATCAAGGAATCATGGCCTAAAGGAACCTTCCCCAGATTATTGGCAGAGCAGAAATGTGACTCGGGTTTCCTCTCTCTTATTCCAGTGCTCATTCTGCTGGGTGGTAGTGCCTCATTTCCCCTTAGTCAGTGTCAGTAGGCTCTGGAATTCAGACCCCCTTTAGTGATGGCCTAATCAAAATAGATGTGTGGAAGTAAGTATTGCTAAGGCATTCCAGAGCCTCCATGTGAATTGGTGATCTATTTAGGATTATTTGTGCCAGTGTCTTTATGATTTAGGAATAAAATTTTGCTTGTGATTTGTTACCACTTTGAAACCCTGAATTTTGCTTAGGCCTCTCTTAATTGCCCATTTAGATAAGGAAGCCATTAAGGTCACTCCACTGCCATGTGTGCAACTCCTGTGTGGCTCGATACGATCAACACTGCCTGTGGACTGGACGGTGCATCGGTGAGAAAGTGAATTTCTCAGTTTCCACTGCGAAGTTAAGCTTATGTTTAGTTACGTGTGGGACTTATAAGAAAAGTGGAGAGGTATCCAAGGGGTCCATTTTGTAGCTCTTCCTTGTCAGAGAATCATCTCTATGGTATAATACTTTTGGAAAACTGATTGTCGATGTTGATAATAATAATGTCATTTGTAAAGTATTTTGTATAGGACAGTATATTGTATAGTATTTTCAGACACTTTCATATATAGTATCCTATTTGATCATCAGAGCACATCTATGATGTTGGTATTATTATCTCCATTTTAGAGTTAAAAAAAATGTAAAAGGTAAAATTATTTGCTTGCGGTCACATTAGTAGTATCAGTGTCCTGCTCTGAATACCATGATCTTACCATGTTTTGTGGCTGTGTCTCTTACTCTTCTTCTCTACTTGCCTCCTTCCAAGCTCAGGTAGGAGCTAGAACCAGAGACAGCAGAGATCTGGGCATTGCCTTCCACCCAGGGAATGTTCCTTGTCCTCATTCCTCTGAGCTGTCACAGTAAAAGCCAGGGGTTTATTATGAGGAACTTGGGAGGAACTATGGTCGTTGGAGAGGATGTGCTTTTATAATCTTGATGAACAGAAGGCTGCCTCGGCTCAGATAGGTTTTGTCGGTGTATTTTGATGTTCTCCACTGGTCCTGAAGAACAGACGGAGACATAATTGCTGGGATCCCAAGCTTTATGGACCCCATCCCACAATAAAGATGAGATGATTGGCATTATAACAGGCAGCTTTGAATGGCAGTGGAAAAACAATAGTAGTGAGCCCATATGTTTTTATCACACTGCATTTAACGTAGTGTTTCCACATACATCAGCCTGTTTGGTTGCCACAGGCCTGTGAAGTAGACAGAAGAGATATGATCCCCATATGACAAGTAAGAACACTGGATCAGAGAAGTTAAACAGCGTACGTCTACTCACACAGATAGTCATTTGTAGACCTAGGTCTCCTGACTCCACAGGGTGCTGCTGCTTCTGCGGGGCTTTGCTGCCTCCAGAGAAGGTGGGAACGTCATGCTATCTGAGGAGCTTTTGTGCCATTAACGTCAAAATGCTCCCATCGCCAGCATCAAGAGGGCAGCACGTACAGCAGTGGGCTTGGTTGCTGGGCACCCTCACCCCTGCCTCACTGCTGTAGGCCTTTCTCAGGCTGCACTGTGCCCCGCTTTTGCTGTGTCCAGTCTCCTGCAACGTGTCTGTGTAGTGCTGCTGCGCAGATTTGTTTTCTCTGCTCCCATGCTCAGGTCAATCCTTGATGTCCAGCAGTCGTACTTATATAAACTTATTACATGAAGGAAGGAAGAGACACGCTGTGATTCACCCAAAATCCTGCCCTCTCCCCTTCCTCCGACACGACAAAGGCCATCCTAGAGCTATATGGGCTTAGTAAAGCCTTTGTTCTATTCGAAAACCGTGTCTTCTTTCAGATAAGTCATGAATTAAAGTTAGTTCAGTTAACATGGACAGTTGACCAGGACATATCAGAGCTGTTTGGTTTTGGTTTAGTGGTATCTAAAAGCAAAGCAACAGCTTCTCTCTTTTTTACTTTAGTGAAGGCTTTTGACAGGAAGGTGGTTAATAAGGTCTTGATCTGGAAGATCATTGTAACAAAGTATTAAATATGTTGTTTTTCTTTTTGGTTAGGTTTTGGCAACCATCACTATTACATATTCTTCTTATTTTTCCTTTCCATCGTGTGTGACTGGATTATATATGAATCTTTCATCTGTAAGTATAAATTTTTCTCACAACAAGCTCACGCACCCACACCTACGTACACTTTTCCCTGTAAACTCTCGTATGTCACATTCTGGCCGGGTGGTTATAAACTATACCCCTAATAAAAATGAAACGGATGCCTCTAAGACTCAGCCGTGGGGTGCTGCAGGAAATGCTGGAGGAGGGTAGTCGTCAGTACTTTGGAAGAGATTGTGCTCTAAAGTGGCCTTGATGGATTTGAGAAGTGATCAGAAAGACAAGTTCATCTAAGGCAAGTGCAGATTTATCCCCCAGTGAAGTGAGGAAAAATCAGCTGCTCAAGTACAAAGCAAGGGAATTGATAAGCAAATAAAACAGGAAAAAAAGAATGGTTGGGTGGAGAGGTTGGGGGCGGGGGAAGGTTGTCACAGTAATTAAGGAACAGAACTCTGAAAGCACATGCCGTTTGATAAATATCCAGTCACAACATAGAACTCATGGGAAAACTGTAACAGTCATTGAAAAGATGGAAATAATAACTTGGAAGAAGACATTAGATCGCTTATTCTGCGTCGCCGAGAGGGGAAGATGACTTTTCAGTAGCAGCATCAAAGGGCGTCTGGAGGTCTCACGTGGGAGTGACATCCAGCGGTTCCAAGGGGGTTGGCTAAGAGGAACAGGGTTTACATGGAAGCAAGAAGGATTTTGGTAGCTGTTGAGAATTGCGTGACTATGCTTTTCAAACCTTGGAATAGGCTACTTAACTAGAAAAACTTAGAGTTCTTGTTGTTTATTTATTTTGACTTTATTTGTTTAACTTTTTATTATTTACGTATTTTGAAGGCTTGTGGAGAATTGACTCTGGAGGCAGAGGCTTCACTACTAACCTGTTTCCATCCACCCTCCTGTTATAGTCATGCTCAAGTCTTGGATTTTGCCAGTAGAATACTAAATACTAGTTTGTTACTTGAGCTAAAATCTGGAATGGTTCAAGAAGACGTTGGAAAGTTTTTTTCCTACATTTTTTTCTTTTTCACTTAGCATCCCAAGCCCCACCTCTCCCTACCCCCCCACCCGCTGGCTTTCTTTACTTTAAATTTTCTTTAGTTTTTGAAAGATACTTCCGCCTAAGCCTCTCAGTTTCCCTTCCCAGAAACATCCAGTATTATAAGTTGGTTTTTGTTTGGGCTTTCATTTTTAGAGATTGTTAATTAATCTCTATGTGAAATGGTCTGTTTTTGTCCTGCCATAGGTGTGGAGAGGGCTTCAGTTACCTTGTCAGGCCTTTCCCACCTGACGCCTTGCTTGTCTGATCACTAGGGAATGCTTTTGTAGCTCAGTGTAACTGTCACCTTCTCGAATGGATCTCGTAGTCAGAAGGTTGTGATCCGTGATCCCAGTTCTTGTTAAAGGCCGTCAGTACTCCTGAGCATCAGAACTTTAAAACCTCTTAGATTATGTCCTGTGGTGTAAGAAATAAAAGAGTTTCTGACAGTGCTTCTTTCTGTTGAAAGAGCTGCCCTTTTAAGGCTGACAATAAAACATATTCCTGGAAAACCTTTTTAAGCTGGCCCATGGACCAACTTGTCCCTTGGACTGGATCCTGAGGGAAAGGAGCCAGATTCTACACCACTCTTGTCTCTCCCTCCACTAAAAATAGTCACCTTTGTTTGGTGTCTATGTCCAGCATAAGACTGTACTGATAAGGACAGAAGTAATTTTCCATCATGTTCAGTCTTTCCAAGTTGCTGTCTCAGTACATGCGTTGGTTCTTCCCTCCTCTTTGTCTTTATTCTCTGGCTCTGAACCAATTTTTATATTATGTTTTGTTTCTTAGGAACAGTCCCACCTTACGTTCACTTACAACTGTGTAGGCTAGCTACACGTATTTTGTTACTTTTATCCCATTTATATTCTGACAATATTTCTTTACATTGAATGAAGACGTCGTGTCATTTATCATTTCACAGACAGGAGAAATGAACTTGTGCTTCATTTTTCTAATGAGGCCTCACTCATCCTACCTTCTTTGTTACTATTAACGCTCCCATTACTATAGTCCTGCTCTGTACCCTCCCCACCGTGTGATCCAGTTGTAGCTACTTCTGGCTCTGCACAGCCTCCGTGCATTTCATCTTTTTTGGGGTCTGTTTTCAGGGTGGACAGTAAGTAATTGAGACAGTGTCAGCATCCTACAAGTTACAGGGAGAAAGATTTTAGATCACTCTCAGGAGGAACTCCGTAACTGTCAGAGCTATTTAAAGATGAAAACGATTGACTCGGAACAGTATGAGGTCTATCATTAGCCAATGACCACTTGATAAGAATGTATTATTAGTACATAATTGAAGTATTATATTGCATAAGATAATGTACATGCCCATTTGCAGCCATATTTTGATATTAAATCTGAAATCCGTCCTATGAAAACTTCAGTTTGAGGTCATGCTGTGTTATCAAAAACGTTACCAGAAGAGAGCAGTAGAAATCCATAAGCGGAAAGAAAGCAGATCTTCTTCCCACTCAGCAACTGTTTTCTTTGCCTGCTGGTGGAAATTATTCTTTTTTGTCATATCAGGTACAGGGGATGCATCTATCTTTGCTGTCCTAATTAGAAGCTCTAAAGGGAGTGTAATTTGCCTTAACTGGTTACCTTGATTGTTGCTCTGTGATGATTGCTTTTCAAATGCTTCTGGCATATATTCATGAAAGATGGTTGGGAATCAAATGACACTCAGAGGAAAGAAAAGAACAGATTTTAGGACTGAAATGGACAGCCAGTTGGTAGTAAAGTCATGGACTCATTTCCTTTCTCAGGAGCTCTGAAGTCCTGCTTTGGGAAAATGTCTAAAGCTCTTACTGTCAGAGGCGTTTATGAAACCTCAAGGTGCACATCTACAGAATTCTCATTTCAAAAACAATTTGCCCTCTATGAATGGTCGTGATGCCTGTAGAAGTCGTTGGCTTTACATAACCTTGAAGATCTGCTCCCTTGTTTCTGCTGCTTCTTACCTGTCTTCTTACTGCTGCTCTTAGCTGCATGGGGGAGGGGTCAGTATCATGAAGCCTGTAATGAAGTCCTCTCTTTTACTTGGCCTGTAAATAGATGTTCTGGGGAGAAACGGAGCTGCGACCATATGAATCTTGCTCCCTCGTCATTTCTTGGAGGTGTCTGTCGTGGATTCTTTCGCCTGAGCTCTCTCCCTTTGCAGGATAACGTATGGTGCAAGTGCAGAAGTACACCCAGTAACTGCATGCTGTGAGGTTCCAGTGGTATCTGGGTGCTTATCGGGTTTCCTGTGCCTGCAGCAGTGGCCTGTTGATCTGAACCTTTAATAAGAGTTTATATTCAGTTCTATAACCGATCTATATCTTGCTATAACATGAATAAGATAGAGAATTTCCTAAGACAAATATTTATTAAATATAATCGTTCTCAGTTGTCAAGTCTTTGAACAGTTCTGGGCAGAGCATTTTATGCTGAGTATGCTGATTTTAGTGATGATTTTCTGGACCTTTTTTGCTTTTATGCCGTCACTGCCAACTGCCGATGCAGTGTTATCATAGCCTTGACTAACAGTCAGGGACCATTTTTTCATCTTTGTTAGTTGTGCCGGCGTTTGGAAGATCAAATCTTAAAGTGGAGTTCTGATCTGTGCCATTATGTCTTGCTTTCTCTTTTCCCTAAATAGAACTGCAGTGATTGTATCTTCTTGAAAAATGATCACTAGTTTGTTGCCTTTTTAAATAATGGCTTCATTTTTTGTGAATTCACAGATTGGTCGAATCATTGTGCCACAACCTTCAGAGAAGATGGACTGTGGACCTACCTTAATCAGATTGTGGCCTGTTCTCCTTGGGTTTTATATATCTTCATGCTGGCAACTTTCCATTTCTCATGGTCAACAATTTTATTATTAAATCAACTCTTTCAGGTATTTTTTCTCTTATAATGCCTTTGAATAAAATTTCCAGTAGCCTGTAGTAAGGTAGAAAGACTTGAATTTTAATTCAGAAGACTTAGATTCTAGTTCCACCTCTATCACTTAGTCTTTGGGTCTAGGCATGTCATTTGACTCTTGAATTTCAGTTTCCTTGTCTGTAAAATGGGGATAATAATCCCTGTATACTCTCACAGGATGGTTTAAGGGTTAGAATAATAAATTGTTAGTGTTGGACCTAGGAATTACCTAATCTGACCTCTTTATTTTACAGAGGTACAGAGAGGTGAATTGAATTGCTCAAGGTCACCCAGTGAGAAGCAAAATCAGAACTGGAAACTTAGGTCTTCTGCCAGTCCAATTCAAGTGCTTTTTCTGTCATACAATTAAATTATATGGTGTGTGAAAGCATGGCTTAAACTGTAAAGCATTGTGCAGATGTGAGGTGATGATTTTCCCTCACTTTTTCCAACCATGTTTGTCCTTGTTATGCAGTGCTTAAGTGGATGGAAGTGAGGGAAAATGAACGATATATCACTAACAAACGGAAATGGTAATTACACTTCCAGAGAAGGTCATGGCCATTAGAAAGTTCAAGCTCCAGGGGAGTAGCCACCTTTAGCTTTCTGTGAAGCTTCTGTCCATTCCCTGCTGCCTGCCTTCCCCTATGAGCAGAACCTAATTCTCATTGTTGGCTGTGGCCTGCCCTCATGGAATGGACAGCCATGATCAGTCTAAGCCAATTACTGCAAGACCTCAGATAATTAGAGCATTATTCAACAAAAGCAAGATGTATTCCACTTTTATGGGGACGTAACCAATTCTACAATAATAATAATAAAGAAAGAAAAAAAAAATACAAAGGGAATTAAGCTAATAGTACTGACTGAACTGAGGTTTCTAAACATTCATCCTAATTTTCTGTCCCTCTGGTATCTACAGACTCAGGCAGTAAGAATGGATATTAGCACCAGTGATTATTGATATTAATTACTATCATGTATAGTACTTAATATTTATATATGCTTTATATATTCCAAAGCACTTTCCCGTCTATTTCCTCACAAACATTTGAGGTGTAGACTGTGCCAAAGTAGTGTCTGCATTTTATGGATGAGAAAACTAAGCCTAAGAGACATTGAGTGTCTTGCTTATGGCCATAGGGCTAGTAAGAGGAGGAGTTAGATGTAGAATCTAAGGTTTGAGACACCAATTCTAATGCTCTTTCTTGTTTTCTGGACTCTTAGAATAAGTACAAGTATATGAGACTATAATATCCTTAATTTTTAAAAGAAAGGTTAATATATTTGTCTGTATTTTCTAAGGCAGGAAAATGGACTCAAAGTTTTAGATAGTTTTCAAATACTGGAGTTCAGAGCAAAGTTGTTTTCTTAATAAACAAAACAACCTAGTTATTTGAAGCCTTTCTGAGTGCTCTGGTGAGTTATGGTTTGAATGTAGCAAGTCTGCCTGAGTGCATAGATTGCTGGTCAGGACCATGGGCTTTGTTCTCACACCCACCGAGGTGTGATCCCAGTTCTGCTGCTTTCTAAGTTGTGTGGCCTTGGACCAGTTACTTCTCATCTGTAAGCCTCGGCACTTGGTACCTTAAATGTGTTATCTCAGATCCTTAAACAGTCTGGTGAAGATGTGATAATCTGTTTTACAGATAAGGAACTTGAGGTTTGAGTTGTTTTGAGGATTAAATGAGATAACTCAGTGAATAGTAATGGTTTCAATATTTGGGGAGTTTTTAAGTTACCTTAATTCCTAACCTTCCCCAAATTTATGGATTTAAATGTTCTTCACTTCAGATTAACTTTTTCATCAAAGAGATACTAAGAAGCACACACAAGTTGAGATAATAGCACCGATACTGATCTTACATTGTTTTATTCATCTGAAAGTTGCATGCTGAATGTGTTGAGAATCTAAACGTGGCCATAAGCCATGGTTTGAATTACTAAAGCAATGATTTCATGGCTCTAAGTCAGTGCACTGTGCTGTTGAAGGTTAATAAAAATCAGACAATCAAAAAAAAAAAAAAAATAGCCCACCTACTAGATTGACATAGGAGAGTGTAGGTTAGAGCTGCTGAATCTTTGTCCTCACCGGTGATCATTGGTTGGAAGGCTAGGTGGTATAGTCTTGGGGGAGTACTGGGTGTTTGCCTGCGTCCTGAGATGCACTACTGAGAGTGGTGGAGCCTCGGTGTAGTGGTATTTTCACGTACCTTCCAACCTTTTCCAGATTGCTTTTCTGGGCCTGACCTCGCACGAGAGAACCAGCCTGCTGAAGCAGAGCAGGCAGATGAGGCAGACGTTGTCCCTCAGGAGGACCCCGTACAAGTAAGTGAGATCCGTTCTGGCCGCTGAGTCCTGTGGAAGACGCTAGGCTAGCCATTGGTTTCCCTACCTAGTTCCACTGCCCATGGCCGTTCTGCTCTCCTCTAACTTGTTATCTGGTGAAGCTGAACTTCTTTCTTAGAAGCCTCAGTGACAGGAGGTAAGTGGTAAGGTCATGAGCCCCAAGGTGGTAAGAATTTAAGATTTAGTCTACTGGACTCGGCACAAATAATAAGTGACTTTGAAGTTTTGCCAAGGTGGGGACTCTCTCCAGTCGAGCCATGTGGTCACAAGGTTGCATGTGCTGGCGTGAAGCCAGTGTGAGATAATTAAGCACGTGGCTGAGAAAGGCAGCCACAAGGCGCTCGGTAGAAAGTTAGAGTGTGAGCTTTGCCAAGATTTTCAGCATTCTTTGAGCCCTATGTTTAATGTGCCCACCTGTGTCAGGGAGAAGCTAGTGTTTCAGGTTTGGGATCTGTTTTCCCCTGAGCATTGGTTATGTTAAACCTGTCCCCAGTTAAAAATTGAGAGTGTGTGTAGGAAGGCCATCATCTTTTGATGTGAGTGATCAGGCTTTGAAGCTTATCTGCCTGTCGCATGTCTCGGGGTCTTGGAGGCTGGGAGTGCTGCGGAGGTGACCCAGGGCCCTCCCGGGATCTGAGCGCTCGCTGCCTATCTCAGGAGCAGTCTATTTTAAAGCACACTCGTGGTACAAGATGAAACTGTTAGGCTGGTAGACAGGGAAACCCGAGCCTGGGTTATGACTACCATGTGTGTTTAGAGAGGAGAGAAATGACTTAATTGGAAGAGATGGCTAAAGTGATGGGGAGTGGAGAGTAGTGTTAAGCTTGTGATGATTGTTTCAGACGGGTGATAATCAAGTCCCTTTGTCAGTGGTTTAACCAGAGGAATAAATATCCACTCCACTGAAGCATGGGAGCCTTTGTGATAGAGGTGGAATTTTAAGCTGAGCCGTGAAGGTTGTGGTGGGGCATGGTGGAGGTGGAAGGAAGGGCGTTCCAGGCCCCGGAGAAGGGTCTGAATAAAGAGGCAGAGGTGAGAGAGCTGGGCGTGTTGGGGATTGCTGAGTAGTTGCAACATAAGCTGGAGGAACTAATGGTGATGCCTTAGAGCCACTTTGAATCTAGCTCCCAAAATCCTGCCCAAACCAAAGATGTGCCTTGTTTGTCCTCCCCTCAGGGACTTGTACTCACTAGCTGGCTCTGGAGCTGGGCCCCATGCATCCCCAGCATGTCTCCACACTTCTCCCTGTCCATTCCGAGTAGGAATGGATCCTCTTCCTAGGAAGCTGCCTTCTGAGTAGCGATGGTGCTTTCCTGACCACTCTCATTGGACAGCAGCAGCGGCACAAGCATCTTCATGTGCACATGTTTTGATGTGTGTAGAGGTTGGGTTAGGCACTTGAAAGACGGGGCATGTGTGTAAAAGTAAACCTTCCTCATGACTGGACTCGATAGTAGTATTCAGGAATTTAATGGAGAAAAAATGATGCTGAAGACTCTTTTGTCAGGAAGGCTCCAAAGGGGAAGTAGACCTTGACCTGGGCCTTACAACCAGTAGGCCTTAAAAGAATAAGGGGGTTACCTGAGGTTAATGTGGGTTCCAGGGAAGAAGAATGGGGCACACAGTTATGACCACAGGAAAAATAAAGCCAGAGTAGCTATAGCAGAAAGTTGATCAAGATGAGTTTGGAGAGTCAACCCCCAAGGAGTCTTAGGGCGTTATTGTGTAGGGCCTTTAATACAACGATGAGGAATTTGGATTTGAGCCTCTGGGCGGAGGAGTGTCTTTAAGGGGTTTTGATTGGGAGGTGAGGGGCTATGAACATATCAGGGCTTTTGGAGGACCAGTCTCCAAAATGTAAGTCGAAGTAGAGGAATTAAGACAGGGACATAATTTAGAGAGCTGCTTAGCTGGTTTAGAAAAACCCCATCTTGTTGATTTTTTTCTGGCCTCTCTGGCCTTTGAGATAATCAAAGTTAGAATTAGGGCAGTGGGAATGGAAAGAATGAAACTTATTGGTGGCAGTGACCACTCCAGTGAGTGAGGGACCCAAAATGAGCTTAGTAAGTTAGTGGGCAGAAGCCAGGGAATCTCAAAATAGGGATGCAGGTCCAGAATGGGACTCAGCTTCAGTTTTAAGGTGCCATAAACCCAAGGAACCATCTGTTTGACCTCTGGATTCCTGCAGGATCTTCAGATGATGTTCTATATTCTAAGTTCTCGGTGAATGTTTGTGGTTTGAATGAATGAATGTGAGGAGCTAACAGGAAATGTAGTAAGACATGTTCTCTTCCTTTCTCGGCAGCCTCGGTTTCACCCAGAACCTCGCAGATTTCTTCCAGTGTGGCTGCTTTGGCCTGGTCAAGCCCGGTGCGGTAGATTGGACCTCACAGTACACCATGGTCTTCCACCCAGCTAAGGAGAAAGTTCTTCGCTCGGTATGAAGAAAAGCAACCCAAACTCTCACTCCAATTTGTTTGTGTTTATGTTGATGCACTGAGGTCTGCAAGCAAAATGAAGACTTAGAGTTCCCGGAGCCCACAGGGAATCACGGGTGGTTTGTAAAGCCATTGGTGAAAACAGAAGTTCTCAATAAAGGCATTACACTTCTTTAGATTTAGCAAGATGGACTGTTCCTGAACAATCTTCAGACATCTAAAAAACTTTTATATTTTTCACAAGAAAATGCAAGGTACTTTTTTTTTGCAGATAATATTCACTAATTATGGATAAAATGTGATATTTTCAAATACTTTATTGGCTGTTTCAAAATAGTGCTGTTCTTTAAACTTGTAATTTTTGATAAATTATTTGTCTTTGTTTTATCTATAAATATGTAAAAAAATATTTAAATACATGTGCCTGTTTTGCTTTCACCTTAATAAAAATTTTTTTTTGTAGTTGAGGCTTAGTTTCTGACACTTAACACTTCTAGAATCTTAAATTGAGAAAAGGTGTGTATAGGACATAAACTGATTCACGACTCCAGGAATGAGTTGAGATCACTGTTAACACCAATAAGCAAGATTTAATTTAGTTTTCTATCTTACTTAGAAAATGGAATATGGGAAATTCTAAAGATTAATTACTATTTTTACTCAGTACCTTTGAAACATTAGACTGGTGTGATTATAATTGCTAATTTCCCTTGTTCTGGAGGAAAGGCTGAATCAACTTGAGCTCCTGGTATTGTGTGTATGCGCCCCTGGGCACAACACCTTCCTGCTGAAAACCCTTCCTTCGGTTCTGCTGCTCTTGGGGTAAAAGCTAAAGTTCTCATCAGGACCTACAAGGCCCTGAAGGATACAACCTTGTTCTGTTGACCAGTCTTACTCAGGACCACGCTTTGTACTCCTCCCACATGGACCTCTCAGTTCCTCGAGGATCCGTTCTCCTTTCTTCTGCAGAGTCTTTGCAGATAAGGAAACTAAAGCCTAAAGAAGTTTGCATCTTCCTCAAGGTCACGTGAATGCTAAGTGGGGTAGCCACTCTAAAGTCCCAGTCTCCTAGAATACTGCCTGACACGTGTGTTCAATAAATATTTCAATTAATTTGTTGAATGAGTGAAGGGTTTTTAAGAATGACATGATGTGATTAGAATTGTGTTTGAAGACTGATTTTCTTTTGGGGAACAGAAGGACATTTTCAAGCTGTATCCACTCTCCTTTCCTTTCTCACCAACCCCTACCAAGTCAATATCCTCAAATTGTGATTCATAGACTATTTACATCAGAATGGCAGGGACAGGGCAGGGCCTGGGGCTCCCTTGTTTAAAATTCAAATTCCCCGCCTCATACCCTCAGAACCACTGTATTCCAGCACTTCTGATTGATATGTGACATGGAAAGCACATTTCATTCATTTTTAAATTATTCCACAAATATTTATTGAGCACCATACTAGGTCTTGCAGGCCATAAGACATTTCCTTGGGATACTAATCATGGAGCTTGCAGTCTAGAGGGGGAGCTAAGATAAATGAAACTAGTATAATGTGGAAGATATTAAAAGCCATAAGAGGGGTACAAATAAAATACTGTTAGTTTAGAGGTTGGGGAGAGCCTCAGTGGATGTGATCAAAGAAGAGTTTATGGATGATGGGGCATTAGAGAGGGTCTTTCAGTGATAACTCAGTTTGGAAATACGGAGTTGGAAATGAAAGGCATTCTCGGGGAGAGAACTTGATGAGAAAAGACCATGGGACAGTAAAGTATCGTCAGAACGGTGACCGCCTGGGTCTGTGGGATGTTTGAAGTGGGGAGCTTGGTTAGTAAGTTGTGGAGGTGGATTGGGGCTAGATCGCCAGGGCCCTGAATGTAAGCTAAGGAGCTGTGAGATTCGAGTGAGCAATAAGGGGCTACTTCTTCAGTCTCCTGTCAGTAGAAATCCTTGGAAAGGTTGTGTGCAGTCAGTATCTCAGGTCCTCCCTTCCTTTCCTCCTTTGACTCACAGCTGTGAGGCTCTCACCCCTGTGCCGAATGGATGCTGCCTTTGGCAAGCGCACCGGTGTCTTCCATGTTGCTGAATTCAGCGGTCAGCTCCGAGTCCTCGTCTTACAGAACCTACCGGCAGCATTTGAGAATTAGTCACTCTCTCTTCCTCGATACACTTTCCTCACATGGCCTCCAGGAAAGAGCACTCCAGGTTCCCTCCTCATCTGCCTAGTTGCTCCTGAGAGCCCCCAGTCTCCTGTGCTGTTTTTCCTCCCCTACCATTTAGTGTTGGAATGTCCCTAGTCCTTGGTCTTGCTCTTTATCTCAACTCACTTCCTTCCTTGGTGATCTCATCCAATTGCATGATGGCATATACCATCTCTCGGCCAAAACACCCCGGGTTTTTAACCCCAGTTCAGACTTCTCAAACTCCAGACTGGGTACTTGACGTACCCACTCAGACATCTAGTAGACATCGTAAACTTAACATGTCCAAAACTGAAACTGAACTTCTGATTTTCACCCTACCCCTGCCCACACAGGTAAAAAATAGATTTAAAATATAGACAAAAAATAAAACAAATTTTAAAATAAAAAGTAAACAACCCTGTTTCCTACCCTCAGTCTTCCCTGTATCAGTTGATCATAAACTACATCCTTTCAATTATTCAGGCCAAAACCTTAGAATCTTTTCCTGATAACCCTCTTTTTCTCATAGTACCCCAGATTCATTTCTTTGAGAAATCCTATTGGCTCTATCTTCAAAATATGTTCAGAATTGAACCCTGGCCACCATTGCTGCTCTAGTCCCGAGTTAACCATCTCCTCTGGCTGGGTTACTACAGCCTTATTTGGTCCCCTTGCCTCCCCCCTCGCCCGGCTGTAAGCAGCCAGGGTGATCCTGAATGCTCCCATGGCTCCTCCTGTCACCAGAGGAAGGGCCAAAGCCCTGACCGTGGCCTGCAGGGCCCTGCGGGATCTGACGCTTCGCCTGCTTGCCCGGCACTGACCCCACACTGACCCCACACTGACCCCACACGCCTGCCTGGCGTGCTTCTGCCTCAGGCCTTTCCCTGCCTGTTCTCTCTGCCTCGAGTGCGCTAACCCCAGAAACCCACAGAGTCAAGCGCCTTTCCTCCAAGCCTTCTGTCAGATGCCAGCTTCTCAGTGAAGCCTACCCCTCAACATTGTGCCAGTTGTAACATCCTGTTCTTGCGCTCAGCTTCCTATTCACCCTGCTCGGCACTTTTTCCTGTAGCCTTACCACCTTCTTACCTACCATGTAATTTATTTACGATGGCTGCCGCGCACTGTCTTCCTCTCCACCCCATTAGAGTATAAAGTCCACAAGGGATCTTTGTTTTGTTCATTGATGTATCCCAAGCACCTAGAATGTTGCTTAGCACAGAGTATATGTTCAATAAATATTTGAATTAATCAGCTAAGAAGTCTGTTGAATGAGTGAAGGGTTTTCAAGCGGGACTGATGGGATCAGAGTTGTGTTTGAAGACTGATTCTCAACTGGGGACAGATGGACTCTTTCAAACTATGTCCCTGCTCCCCCTCTCACCGACACCCACCCAGTAAGTATTCTCAAACTGAGGTCCTCAACCATTTACATCAGAATCAGGCTGGGGTGGTGTCCATGGGTCACTTGTTTAAAATTCAGATTCCTCATTTTAGACCTTCCAAATCAGTCTCTGAGGAGTGGGTCCTGGAGTCTGAACTTTCGTCCGGTTCCCCAGATGGTTCTTACATGCACATGCTACAGTTTGAGAATTGTTTACTTAAAGAACCTTACCCCACCTTGCTAGTGTGGCTTTTCCTTCAGGTGCACGTAGGTGTGAAAGCTAAAAAGAAGTTTGGGAATCTGTGTTATAGGTAGGCACCCTGGGTTTGAATCTTGCATCTACCAGTTATAAGCTACTTTTATCTCTTTGAGCAAATGACTTAGCTTCCTAGTGCCTCAGTGTCCTTATGTGTATGATGTAGATAATAATTGTATGCACCTTCAAGTGTTGTTATGAGGATTGGATATGTTAATACATATAAAGTGCTTAGAATTGTAATTGCATAGTCAGTGCTCAATAAATGCTGGCTGTTAATTCAGAGATCTTTGGGAAGTTGCCTACAGAGAGAGAGAAGCTGGTGGTAGGGAAATGTGCCAGATCTGCCCTTCTATCTGCGTGTGTGTTCTGGGGCTAGGATTCTGAAACTACCATCTCCTTGCCAGCTGACTTCCCGTCAATTCTGCCAGTAGGCTGGAAGGAGGAGGGGAGAAGGGACCCAGTCCATCCTACTTGCCAGCTGTTCCTCTCAGTGGTGTTCAGACAATGGCCCTTCACCCTGACAATGACAATGGAATCAGTGTCTAGCTTTTTCACCAAGGCAGCTCCATTGTGTCCCCTTAGAAGCACCAGCAGTAACCAGGCAGGGCTCTCTTCTCCGAGGTCTGACTCCTGGTCCCTGGGCGACCTCTCCTCGAGGCGTCTACATTAGGATACCCCCGTCTCTTCTCTCTGCTTCCCCAGTCCCAGGGGTGGTAGCTGTCTCCTGCAGTTATTATCTCTGCATTAAGTCTGTGTGTTCCTCTTTACTTTTTCAAAAATATTAGCACCTGTCTTATATTCAAGTCTTTAATCCATTTTGAGTTAATTTTGTGTATGGTGTAAGATAATGGTCTACTTTCATTCTTTTGTGTGTGGCTGTCCAGTTTTCCCAACACTATTGAAGAGACTTTCATTTCTCCATCATATGTTCTTGGCTCCTTTGTCAAAGATTTGCTGTCCATAGATGTGTGGTTTTATTTCTGGGCTCTCGATTCTGTTCCATTGATCTGTGTGTCTGTTTTTCTGCCAGTACCATGCTGTTTTGATTACTATATTTTTGTAGTATATTTTGTTTTGTTTTGTTTTCCCCAAAGCCCCAGTAGATAGTTGTACATCACAGTTGCACATCCTTCTAGTTGCTGTACGTGGGACGCGGCCTCAGCATGGCCGGAGAAGCAGTGCGTCGGTGCACGCCCGGGATCCGAACCCAGGCCACCAGTAGCAGAGCGCGCACACTTAACCACTAAGCCACGGGGTCAGCCCGTTATAGTATATTTTGAATTCAGGGAGTGTGATACCTCCAACTTTGCTCTTTATTCTCAGGATTGTTTTGGCTATTTGGGGTCTTTTGTTGTTCTTGAATGTAAGACCTGAAACCATGAAACTCTGAGAAGAAAATATAGGCAGTTCACTCTTTGACATCAGTCTTAGCAGCATTTTTCAAATACCTTTGAAATTCCCTTGTCTACTCAGGCAAGGGAAACAAAAGAAAAAATAAACAAATGGGACTATATCAGACTAAAAAACTTCTGCATGGCAAAGAAAACCATCAACAAAATGAAAAGACAACCCACCAACTGGGAGAAAATATTTGCAAATCATATATCTGGCAAGGGGTTAATTTCCAAAATATATAAAGAACTC